AATAATTATATTTATTAATTATTAATTAATAAAATAATTAATATTTTCAAACACTATTTGTAAAAATAAAGACAAATGACTAACATTTCTGATGGTAGCAATAATCATGCTCTGTTCCCTCCAATAATTTTGAAAAATTACTCTAATTTTTATTACTCTACTTATTTAAAATACTAAATTATATTTTCTGAGTTTTTGACATTTTGTAAAAGCAGAATAACGGCCAAGAAAAAAGGGAAAAGCAATGCTCAGAGCAATTACAGTGAATAGACAGGTGTAAATGTCATCAGATATCCAAAAAGGACGTTTAGATATATCACGATAATTTTTACAACTGCTCAACATATATGCATACATAATCTCATTCTCATGTGCTACGTAGTCCTAGTAAGAGCCAGTGAAAACACAATCAGCAAAATCTCTAGGGTCAAATCTTTGTTTCCTGTCAAGAGTTTTTTCCTTTTGTTCACCATAAACAGATATATGAACCATCTTTTTGATAGTCTGACAATTGTGCATTTGTTCAAAATTGTAATGGTTGATCTTTAGTTCTTGTAAGACGTTGCGAATTGTCTCCAGGATAGCAAGATGAGATCCAATTCTCCAGTATGATGCTTGTTGGATTGGATAGGTTTCGTTGAAGCAGTTCTCATTACCGCATGGCTTCCATCCTTTGATGCATGCTACAGTAGCAGTTAATGTCATTCCAAGAAAGGCACAGAACCAATGCTGCATAAGGGAAAAAAAAGACATTTACCATTGATAACATATATCAATAGAGACACTGATAACCATAAATAACATCATGTATACAATTGCATGTATTCAGTCAATAAATATGATCAACCAAAACGAAAGGTTAAAATAACCATAACGAAAAGTAAAAATGCAAAAAGCTTGCATACCTAAGAATGATGAAAGGGCAATATACATCAACTTTTGTCAACAAAACAGCACATTATTTTCAATATCATTATGAACAACTGGGGCAAGTGGTGGCCAATCTGCAAAACAAAAAATCATAAAGCAAGTTTAGTTTGTCATGGCATGAATGAAAAGCTAATAGGCCATCAAAGGAAATAGAAACAGGCCGCGAAGTGGATATTATGAGTAATCAACAAACAATAACATCAAATGCAAGCTACCTCTTGCTAAAGCCTCTTCTCTTCTCTTCACTTACTGTGTTGTATATACCAGAAGAAACAAATGAGTGAAACTTGTAAAAGTCTGCATGTTTCACAAGTTCAATCTCTCTGATATACCTGCTGTTGTTGGTTAAGTTCAACTGCCATGACCAATCTCCCTCTCTCTCCTCTTCAATTCCCAAGATAATTTGAACAGTGTAAATCAGAAAACCATAATCACTGCTCAATTTCATAAAACAAGTGGTAAGTGGCATGCAGGGAGATGGAATTAAGTAAATACACTAACCTTAAAACTGGGTCTAGTAACTGTAGCAAGAGGGATATCATGATTTGCATCATAACCAAGAAGAAGAAGAAGAAGACACTTCATTCTGCTATCATTCTGCTAAAATTAAACATTCTTGAAGAATGATGATTTTGCCATCTGTAGCACACCTCTACCATCCAATGCACAATAGAATGTGGTAAATGACCAGAAGAAGAAGAAGACGAAGAAGACAATTCATTCTGCTAAAATTAAACATTCTTGAAGAATGATGATTTTGCCATCTGTAGCACACCTCTACCATCCAATGCACGATAGAATGTGGTAAATGACCAGAAATCAATGATAATAACAAATTGGATCAATGATAAATAGAATCAGACCATGAAATGATTAAATTTGAAAGATCTATGCACCTGGAAGACCAGTTATATAATGCAAAGCGGTACTCTCTAAAGGTGTGAAGCATGGTTATTGGTTTAACTTCTCTCCCACACTCTTTTTCTTGTTGCCTTTCACCATTAGAAGCTATCTTAGAATTAACACCATAAGCATCCCCTTCTTCAACTGCTTCACCATCATCAGCACAAATAAGTGCATCTGAATAAGTAAATAAACAAAAGAAAGAAAGGATAAAATCAGCTAACAGTCCTTAGAAAGAAGAAATTAAGTTTTTGAATCACTCTACTAATGTGAATTCCAGATTGTAATGTATTAAGTTTGGTTTATAATCTATTAAATGCATATAAGAATTAATCAATTTAGCCAATGACGCTCTACTTGCACTGCTTATGGTTAAGGAAATAAATTATTGGAACTCAAAATTGAATTATTACATCTTGTGGTGCACAACTGGATTTCGACTTTGCAGAATCACAAACCCATATATTTGGTAATGAACCTGCACCTCCCACGTGAATATGCAAATAACAGATAAAAGTAAAAATTGAACATAGAAAAATTGTTCAGAATAAGACCATATGCAATATAAGAAAAAAGAAACTACAAAGCATGTTATATTATTATGGTTGCAGGTGAATCATGATATTAATTTTGAAGGGTAATTTAGGATCAAAATACAGGTACAGATTGAAAATGAATACAGCAAAATCAATACTCACTACTTGGAGTTTATGACACCAAATCCTGTGCAAAAATCCAACATGATACTACTTAGGAGCATTTGGAGTTCATCGGAGACAGGAGCCTAGAACTCTTCCTGCCAATTGCCATCCAATTGTGCCAAAATTGGCATTTTGCAATACTGAAATTGAAATCCTGCGTGTTTTTCATTTCAATGATTTTACTTCCAACTCAAAAAGAAAAAAAAAAGTTAATTTAAATATTCTAATTATTGATTATCACAAATTAAACAACTCAATAAATTTATCAGAACCAACCACCAAATAATTATACACAGAAGAAACCCATTTAAGAAAGTAAGAAATCACTAAACAAACAAAGACCAGCCACTAAAAATCCTAGCAAAAACAAATCATTTTAGAATATCTGTAGTAGATTTTGGAATTACCAAAATGGAACAAGAAATATAAAAGGAGTTAAAGAGTTAAAATCATAATAATTCATACAATAGATAAAAGAGATTGGATTCCATATATGGTACCCAGTTTGGCGAGAATCTCAGATGAAATTGGGTAAGCAGAGGTTGGACTCAACTGGACTAGACTGGACTGGAGGAGAGAAGGAGAAAAGAAGGGTTTTACTGGCACATGCTACTCGAGGCCGCACGTGACTTACTTGGACATGTCAGGTACATACACAAACGGTTGGTTGCCGCTCATTCTAGCCGTCCGTTAGTGCTGCCAGCATGGAAATTTAAGTTGGCGATTTCTTACTCTGGATCATGATCGTCTATTGCCTTCAATTCAACAGAAATTGTTTCCTTCCATCTAGATTGCAAATGATAGAAGAGGAATTAGAAAACTAATAAAAGAGATAAATAAAATCAAAATTCTTAAAATTAGAATTGAATACTTAATCAATCAATACCTTTCCCTTCAATCACCGCTAATAATATTTCACGAAAGGTTGAAGTAGGTTTTTATGATCCCACTCCACTGATTCCCACCATGCTTTTGACTCTTCATCTATCCAAATTCCTTCCAGACGAGGAGGAGGAGATGGTTGGCCATTATCAAGCAGGGGAAGCTGCACTGGGATCCTCTTTAACTCCCGACATTTCCATACTGTAATTTCTTCAATAGAATCACATACCATAACTCCTTTGGCACTGCAGATGCTCTTCAACTGGGGTAAATTACCCAACTTCAATCTCCTTAACTTGGGAAAAGTGAATTTATGGGATGATGCATCTGAATCTGATGATGCTATTATCTCCTCCATTTGTTCACACCCATAAACATAAATCTGCTCTAAGTTTTGGAAAACCTGTAGCAGCTCAAGTGGAAGCAACTTCCCCATTCCTGAACACTCCGTAATCAAAAGCATTTTAAGATTGGAAAAGACGTGCGGTGGCATTGCTACTCCTTTCACTCTCACAAGTACACTCAATTTAGGCAATCTGCAAAGATACAACTCTTCCAGCTTACCTAGTACTGAATAGGAGGATAGGTTCAAGTCAACCACGCACTCTATATCTGTACAATCACTAATACTACAGTGAGTCAACTCGGTTGCCTTTTCTAACAAGGCTGCTTTATTTAAGTTGCTTCTCATGTTTCTACACCTCTTTATCTCCAAATTCTGAAGGTTATCTGGAAGTACCATACACTCTTCTCCTAAGTCACAATTATTAATATTAACCACAGCTTTCTTTTGGCCAGTCAACCCCACATCGACTCGTGGCGGTACTCCAATATTGTAATCAGTAAGTCCTACTCCAATATAGTAATCAGTAAGAATTTGGAAATCTTGAGACTTGACAAAATAATTGTAGCCTTCTATTTCATTGAATGCACCTTCAAACTTCTCCAACTTGCTTAATCTCGCAACCTCTTCTCCTTTTATCTTCAAATCTTTATAAACTAACAAGCATTGGAGATTAGAAAGGTTTGATAACATTCCATTTGGAATCTCTTCTAGATCGAAACAATAACTTAAATCAAGATATTCCAGACTAATCAATTTCTCCATGCCTTGAGGGACCACCTCAATCCTGGATCCAAACAGATCCAACTTCTTTAATGCTGTAAGCTTTGCTAAAGAAGGCAAATACCTTAACCTGTCACACCACGCTAACCTCATGGAAGAGAGCTTCTCCAAGTTTGAGATGGAATTAGGTAAAGCTTCAATACCAGTTTTAGAAAGATCAAGAACCTTTAATTCAGGCATACATTCAAATAAGGATTCTGGGATCTCTGACAAATTATAATTATTTGATAACATCAAAGTTGAAAGAGTTGGACACATTGGAGATAACTCAAGGGAAATTTTTGATATGTTATTCTCCATTAGAGACACCTTCTTAAGATCATTTCTCCACTCATGCTCAGTTGGTACCTCTGCCAATTTCACACCAGCTTTTACCATATATCCAAATTCAGGACCAATGCTTTTGATAGCCATGTCTCTCACTACATCATGCATCTTAAAAACATCATCACCAAGCTGATTAACAGTTTTCTCTAACAAGCAATTCTTTACAAGCATTTTTAAAATGGTAAGGCCCTTAGCATAAGTTGCTTCTCTAGTAGGCCACCTATCAATTAATCCTTCATCAATCCACCCTTCTATCAACTCTTCTCTCAAAAATGGATAATCTTCAGGAAACAAGGAGCAATAAAGAAAACAATTTTGGATTTCAAAATTATTCAAACGATCATAACTAAACCTTAACCTCTTAAATATCTTTTGATCTGAACCAGTCACACTCTTTACCCGTTCTTGTAATTCGTTTAAGGCATTCTTCCACACTTCAACATCATCTTCTCCACTCATACTCTCTGCTATCACAATAATGGCCAACGGTAAGCCACCACACTCCTCCACGATGAGCTTCAAGATTCTTTCTAAATTTGGTACTTGCAAAACATGATGCCCAACTTTATCTAAGAATAAGTTAAGAGACTCCTGAAATGAAAGAGGCTCCACTTTGACTATCTCACAGCCCATTTTTTGGCACACATCAATGGATCTACTAGTGATGACTATTTTGCTTCCATTCTGAATAGTTGTTTCTAGAATTCCCACTTCAATCAGAGAAAACACTTCCCAGACATCATCTAGGATAAGCACGTATCTTCCTACTCCTTCCATAATGCTTATCAAAGTAGCTGCCCGCCTCACTTTATCCTCACCTTCTGGGAGTCTCAATCTATGATCCATAGCGCAAGCAATATTTTCTTGTAATTTGATAACATTGAGTGGGTAGGACACAGTGACCCAAATCACCCTATCAAAATCAGTTACTCTCAACAATTCATCATTAATATGCTTCATGATGGTAGTCTTCCCAACCCCACCAACCCCGCAAACTCCAATCTTTCTAACCTCATTGCCCATCAAATATCCCCAAATTTTTTCTTTTGCATAATCTTCACCCACAACATTCTCAGTTGGCAATTTGATTCCTCGTGGAGGTCTGTCAATTGTCATTGTGAGACCATCAGGAAAACGACCTTGTTCATAGATTCTCTTCACCACCTCAATTTTCTTACAAACAAGTTTTTCAAGACGACCCTTTGAGTACCACTTAACTTTCTGAATCTTTTCTTGAATGGCTTGCACTTCATTATTGGTTTCTTGTACAAGTTTAAGCCAGCCTTGCACTTCATGTTTTACTTCTTTTCCCCAAGCAACCTCAGACTGAATGCTTAAATTTACATCTTCTTTTCGAGAGATTAGAACTTGCAATTCTCTTCTCAAATCACTCACAGCTTCATCAAAATTTAAGTGATAACCTAGATAGATGCAGGTTGACCTCCCCAAACACTTCACCAATTCCATGATAGGCTCTGCTAGCTCCATTGAAAAAGGCCCTGTAAAAAAATTGTCACTAGCTCTTTTCATCACTTAGCATGTCACAGAATTTAATTTGCATCTTCATTTGCTACCAAAATATTGCAGCTTTGATACCAAAACTCAAACAGAACTCTTACACAAAGAAATTCAAAAACACAAAGCCACTGGAATACATGTTTACTAATGAAGTAGCAGTTCGGCCAAGAAAAATGAAAAAACAAAACTAGAAATCGATCGAAAGCAAGAAATCTAAGGTAACCAAATTGTGCACCAATAGAGAAATCTAAAATTGAAGATCTAGATAGATAGTGTACCTGCTGCAGGTTTAGCAAAAGGAATCGAAGAACGTTGGAAATTGGTACCAAAATTAGGCCAAGCAAATTAGAATACGCAGCAGATTTGCAAATCTGCAATAGTAAGCTTAATTCTCCTGTTCAGTGGGGTTGATGGATATTTCCCAGAAGAATAGCATATGATTCCAATATGATCACTTGGAAGACATGTCTACATGTACCTTGAGTACCCAAAAAAAAAAAAAAAAGAGAGAATTTTCTAGATTAATAAAGTAGCTTAGCTTCTAATTAAGGTAAACACAAACAAGTTAAAAATGAGGAATCTAATTAGAAAGAAGCATCTTTGCTAATAAGATCATGCGATCCGCAACAAAACTGAGACATTTTCATTTTATATATACTCTAAAGAGGACATAACAAAATCAAGATTGAAGAACTAAATAGAAGGCGTACCTGCAGGATTAGCAGAAGAAGTTAACGGAAGTTGAGATACTAGGGCCAAGCAAAAATTAGAAGCAGCTTAATTGCGCGATTGCAAAACCTAAACTTTCTTTCTGATAAGAAGAGTTGAACCGGCCAAGGAAAAAGGAGAATGTAAAGTGGGCAAGTCAATGAGAAAGACAAGAAGATATTTCTTGGAAGATGCATAGCAAATACTAGTGAAATGAATATACAAATAGTCAAAAGATATGTATAAATGAGAAAAATGGGAAATTTTTATACCTAAAAAAAAAATCATCAATACAACTTTGGTTATTGGAGAACTAGAGGATGGCACTCCTCCATCATTTAGCGCAGAATAGAATGTGGTAAATCACCAAAAATAAAATGACAATAACAGTTTTTTTTGGATTGAGTGGAACAAAGGGTAGGGGAGGGAAAAAGAAATTTTCATTTGATTATTAAAAAAATTAAAGAGAAAGGGAAAAAAAATTTTTACTTTATTTTTAATTTAATTATTTTTTAAAATAAGAGGAAGGAATGAAAAGAAAATAATTCTCCTTTTATCTCTTTTTCTCTCCATTTCTTCAAAATAAATATAAGGTTGGAGACATATTAAAAAAATATATCTTTTTTGCGGTTAAGTACTATACGAGTTGAAAGAAAAAAAAAAAAAAAGAGGAAAAAACATTAATATTTATTGTCAAAACCACACCGTTTTGTCTGAAACAGACATAAAGCGCACCCTCCATCAACATGCAGGTAACGAACAGAAGACAAACGCCGTCCGTTACCTACTCCATTTCCTTTTGTGATTATCAAATGGTCCCTCTTTTTGAAAATTATAAATTCATTTTTATTTTCATTAGTTTCTTAGTGTTAATTTAAATCTTTTTTTTTTATCAGTGTGGTAATTTAAATCTTAATACTTTAAAAACTAAATCCTACAAATTTAAATTACCCCAACACTATAAACATGGAATAAAAATTATCAATCTTATTATTTTATTTTTTTAGTACATAAAGAAGTTAAGAAACAAGCTAAAGATGTTGGCCAACAGAAGTCATATGATCCGCTGCTGAATTTGTCAATCTTATACCTTCTTATCTATGCATTTTGTTATTGAAACAATACGTACCAGTACTAAAAAAATATTGTTTATTATTTTAATTTATTGTTATTTTTATGATAAAACTAAATATGTACCAAAAAAGTAAACTAAATATGTAATTTTAACATGATATCTAATAAGTATAAAAATAATTAATACATAAAAAATTAAATTTATTAACATAAAATGTTTAATAAAACTAAATTCATATTATATCCATGAAATATTCATATGAATTAAAATATGAGTTAACTTAAAAGTTGAATCTATTAACAAATAAGTGTTGTATTATAGTACATATTTAAGTTTAAATTTTAGAATCAATATATACAATATGTTTGGATAAAAATCAA